AGCTACCCAGTTCCTTTTTAACAGTAACATTTCCCTTGTTTGTCTATGCTTTCTTTTAGTGATTAAAAAGGGGAGTGAACTTCACAGGGAGTTGTGGAGGGCCAGTGTAATGCTTTGTGCTATCTACCTGTTGCTATCTTGTTCATGCTGCCAGGAAACCTAAGGGTAGGGAATGCATAGTCTGAAAGTATTGTTTTTTAATTAGTTGGCAAACGAAGAGTTGCAAGTGCTGCTGAAGCCCTGCAGAATGCCACTGCTCACATTATACCGTGGGAATAGCAAAGACAGCCTTTTATCTCTCTCTGCTTTTTATGTGGGCAGTGAGGGTTGACGGAGCAGGGAGAGAAACCTTCTCTTGACCTCCTGTAACAGTCGTGTGGATCCTAATAGACTTTGCTCTGTTCACTTCTTTAAAGAGAACAGTTTATCTATAACCAAATGAAGAAACATTTTTCTTTAGGTCACATCTTGCAAGATCAAAAGATTAAAAATAAAAATAACACTGTACAGATTTGTAGTCTTTCACATGCTCCTGTTTGTGATCAAATAAGTTTTCTGAATAAATTAATGCGACATTGCCTTCTTAGTGTCTTCAGAATAGTCCTTTTACATACAGATCTTCTACCTGCTATGCTGACACAAATGAGTAATAAAATCAGATTTAAGGAAATAATGATCTCTAAAGTTTACTGAACTCAAAAAGGTATTTCTTGGGAACTCTGCCAAATACTAAACGACAGGGTTGCACACGTTTCCTTTAGAAAAATTTTAAAAACCGTATTACTACAGGTGGAAAACTCCCATGCATTTCCTTCTGCCTTCCTGTCTGTCCCAGACCTGTAGATACCACTTGGAGCTTTCTCTTCTTCTTAGCGTGTGGTTAGGAGAAGGGAGTGTGGGTTAGACTGATTTGCAGCCCAGTCCTGGGTTAGTTCACAGCAACCATGAGTTCAGTCTCTTTAAGATCGTGTCTTGGTGAAGGAATAGTTAAGCTGTGCAATCCTGGGCATTACAGTCTCCAAACTGGAACAGCCCTGCTGATCCATCATGTGTTGTGGTGTGACCTTTGTATTTGGGCTTATGCAGGGGAGTGCTGGCCATGCAGTTCTTCATGCCAGAAATATTTCCCATGGGGATGGTCAATGATATTTATGGTCTTGCAGAGCAATTATGAAGTAGATTGACGGAATTTCTGACTTTTTGTTTTCATCTGGGTCCTCAAGGTTAAAGTGAACTTCAGTTTGCAGACTGGCCGGTGTTAGGAGTTTCTTTGCAGTTTATTGCCTGAGAACAACTGTAGAATCTTCTGGTCCTGGGCTGGTGAGAAAGACTCGGACAGCCCGACTCACGATATTGTCCCCACCTAGGACTTGTTAGCGATACTTTTCCTCAAGGCCACTCATGATTTTGTACCTTTTTTGTCTCGCTGTCATTAGCCTGTAGTCCTTTACAGACTGAAGAGTCTTAATGTGTGAAATCAATCCATGTATGGAAGATGTTCTGTACTTTTCAATCATTCTTGTTGATCTCTGTAATCCTGTTCTAAATCTGCGCTTTTTTTTTTTTTTTTTTGAGAGATGAAAGGGGAAGGGAATTATCAGAACTGTGCCCAGAATTCGGCCTATCAGACAAGGTATATAGCTTAATGTAAGCTTAATTATAGCTTATTTTTTCCCTCCCGAAATAGTTACTTTTGTACATTTTTGGATTTCTGGTTAATTCTTTGTCCTTCTTTTCATCTGTAACAAGGCAAAATGTAATGTGTAATGGATCTGACAGAATAAGGAAGGACATAGAAATTATGTTTTAGTGCTTCTTCTAAACTGAAAGTTTTGTTATCCTGCCTTGAACAAGGAGAAGCCTACTTCAGTGTTGTTTAAAATACATGCTGCCCTCTTAGCACTGGCAGTCCCTGGTGTGCTGGCGAAGGGGGCTAACGTCCGTGCTAGCCCAAGCACGTAAAACCTTGAGAGTTCCCGCAGGAAAACAGAGGCCGGGAACTCTACACAGCCATGCCGCTAATTTAACATGACATTGTTTGGTTTATAAAACGTAGCTGTTTCCTCTTCCAAGGCAAAGGATTTTATTTCCAGCATGACAGTGAAATGTAATATGATGATGGGGTAAGTATGTGAACACTTGCGGTAGAGCTCGTGAGCTTGTCTGCTGTGAACTAGGTATTTTAAGACTGCTAATAACTCTGGGCTGAATGATGACATTATAATGGTTGAATCTACTCAGCGATACAGTTCTTTGAAAATCAGATACAAGGGTGTCTTGTAAAACATCCCGTGTAAGAAGTTGAGCTTTACTTATCACGGAAAATGTATACATGTTTAGAAAGAAAGTGCTTGATATTAAACTGCTAAAGCGGAAATATTTGAAGATTACGTCCATTATTCTAAAGTTTTAACATAAACGTTCTAGTTACGATTTCTCTGCTGTCGTAAAAAATGGAAGTCGGGCTCATAACAGAAGGACTTGCATGCTTAAAAATATTAAATATTTATTTTTCCCTCATCAGTTCCTGAAACTGTGTTTCTTTCAGTAGAGTTGATGTACAAATAAGCAGCGGTGAATCTTGTTCTCTTCTTTGCCTGTCTGCATGTTAGTGAAGTGTTTGAGGTTGGTATGTCCTTCCCGGTCTCTGTAACAGGGCCATCCTTTTTTGATCCTACCTGTTTTTCATCCTCGGTGGTGAAATTCAGACAATATACAGACTCATCTTGTAGTTTTTGCTCTCCCATGTGGTAGTTGGAGCACTCTGCAGTGTGTCAGAAAAAGAAATGACTGGTGTGATTAAGACACATTTCTGGTTTGTTTATTTTGTGAGTGTAGAGAAAAAGGTCAATTTTATTTTTTTAAGATGTAGGAAATAAAAAGGAAAAAAATCTATATTGGAAGAGCAGAGTTTCTTCCATGAAGGTGTGAACTATGCTTCAGAAGTAATATCTATCTTGTGTCAGATTTCTGAATTTAAGGCAATAATAAAATAATCTGAGTTGAAAACTCTGGATGAACTAGTAAGACTTGAAATTTCGTATCTCCTTTTGCTAACATACAACATAGAATGTTTAAAAAGTTTGACTAATGCATGCAAGGAGCATGAGAAAAAAATAGTTCTTATAAGAGACCTGTAGAAGATATTTATGGTCTCCAAAGAAAGGAAAAGAGAATCCACAATTCAAGGAACTTTAGTTAGTAAACAAAGTTTATTGCAAAAATATGCAAAGATAGAATAGTGAAGCATAATAAGTTTTAGAGACTTTTCCTGGAAGCCTTATGGGTCTTATGTGCAAGGTAATATATAGACCTCTTGGAAGATTTTTCTGGTATATACTTTTTTCTTTTTTTTTTCTTTTCCTTAGCACAAAAAGGCATCCCTCAGTGGATTGTCATCATGCATCTGTTCTGTCCTCTTCCTCTTTAACCTGCCCTGATGAGATGAAATTACTTGCTTTTTAAATACAAGACTTAAGCAAAACTCTGATTGGATTTTAACAGTATTCCCTAAGAAAATGTCTGGGGGTACATTCAGTTAAATTTAACTGCTGGCTCTTTCTTGCTGTGCCTTTGTTAGGTGACTTAGGAGAAACAATTTGTGTGTGCGTGCATGTTCTAAACTGTTACTGAGACTGACTTGAATTAAACGTACAAGTAAGTGGATCAGCAAAATAAATGGCTGTGTATTAAGAACTTGTACTGGACGTAAAATACTTGGAATTTATGCATTTGTTTGTATGGTAATGACAGCAAGCCCCTCTTATACACAAGGGCTCAGTAGTATGATCCAGGCTTTAATACTTCTGCTGCTGCAAGTGCATGATCTGGTAGTAATTAATTTGAATATACATCAGAGGCCTCTTCCCAGCCCTGCAACACTTCAAAGAAACATGTTTGATGAATTTTCTAATCTGACTTGTCCACAAAAGCAGACACATTCTCCAAATGTTCTCACTTGGAGTTGATTTAATGACAATTTGTTTTGTACGTTGGCAGTGAAATAATCTCTTGTGAATTTATTTTAGCAGCAGCAGTAAAAGGCATGATCCATTTTTTTTTTTTCCTGAAATACTTTTTATCAGACAGTAGGCCAAAGTTGTCTCTTTGCAGTAGCGGACAATATAAAAAATAGGATGTTTATCGCTGAATGCATACGTAGTAATCTTGTATCTAGAATAAGACTTTCTGATATGAAGTGTTTGAAGTTGCTGTGAGAGGTTTTGGACAGCCGTATCAACAAATTACGGTTATCCTCTAAATTTAGATGGGCCATTGTTGCAAATCAGTAATACTTTTATTACATAAAAATTCAAATCGGGTCCTATTTAGTATGGCCTGGAAAGAAAAACAAACGTACTGCTCCAATTGTATTTGGTTACTTTTGGTCTTGTGAAACAACTGGATAAGAACGATGAAACTTTTACAGTGCTTTAAAAATACTTTACTGAGTGTGGCAATGGATGTACTTAAATATGATTACTAAGCTTATGCATAGAGCAGATGCTGTGGTAGCCTTATTTTGGGAAGTATTAAGAGGCTTTTACAGAGTGCCATCTCACATGAGATCTCCAAGAGCTGGGTCCCGCGCTGCCAAAGTGAAGTATTGCCATTGTAAACGCTTGGTCTTTAGCACAGCAAGGGCCTGATCATGATTGAGGGCTAAGGGAGCTGCTGTAGTAAAATGATTGGTGATGGAGTAATTTGCTTTATGAGAGACCTTTTATAATGACAGTATCAAATAGGCTAGAATTTGCCTCGTTTCTTAGGCACTGGTAGAAGCCGGACCCTAGGTGCTGCTCGTACTACTTAAATGCTTTTATATATGGGTAATGTGAGACCTTCTAATTTGTTCAAGATTTTTAATCTTTTCTAGCTCTGCTGTAAAACAGTTCTGGTTAGAAATGATTGGTCACATACAGAACTGGGAAAGAGAGATACAGAAAATGGAGTCTAAAAGAGATCATATCATTAATTTAAATTTGTTTCTAACGTTTCAGATTTTTCTTCTTGCCTGTCCTCCATGTCGGATTGCAATGATTCTCTTCAGGTAATGGCTCTTCTTTCTTTGCTGTATTTCTGTCTGCTTGCGTAATGTATTTTAGAAGTTAATCACAGCTTAAGTCGTAAAATACTAAGATATATATCCAGTTGGAAAGGCATATTGGTTGGATTGCAAAATGCTGCCTTGAAAAGGGCCAGGGGCTTAAATAGTGGGTGTTGAGCCACATACCCTCGGTTCTTTTGTACGGGTGTACCCTCGGTTCTTTTGTACGGGTGGTTTTGGCCTCGCTTGGCAGTATGAGTTAGCTCAGTAACAAGTAAGAATGCAGGCCTACAGGTTTTCTACAGGTTAACGTATGGCTTGTGTAATTTATGTCACGTGCCTTGTACCTTTTTATTATCCTCACTAAAAATTAGTAACTGGGCTTCACTGAAGGTCATACATACAGTATGGGTCTAGTTTTAAAATTGTGGATATAAGTTAAATAGTGAAAGGAAAATCTTGCTGACTTGGGTATTTCTCAAACCTACGCAATCTTTTCTAAAATACTGTGTATCGTTACTAACTTTAGGAACCACAAGAGTTTCTAACGTGCAGGAAGCTCTAATGGGATACTGCAGTAGAGTCCAGTAAGCAGCTTCGGGGTGTAACCCCTCCGGTGGCGGGGAGGGTTACGGGACTTCCCAGGCAGAATCGTAGTTGGGAATGGCTCTAGTTGCCCCCGTGCAGTTAACTCGGCTCTTTCTTGTCTTAGTCTAGGCAGTGACTGGAAAAATGATGCTGGGGGCATGCCTGACGAGTTATTTTGGAACTGCTACTGTCTGTCTGCAACTTTTTCCTGCTGTTTCTTTGGGCAGGGAGTAGGCTTGAATACAGAGATACTGTGTTAGTGTGTTCATCTTGGAGAGTGTGAAAAGTGTGTCTGGTGTCCAGGAAATCCTGGATTTACTATGCATTTGCAAAAGACCGGTTGCAGAGTGGAGGCCACAATATTTATTGTTTCTCAGAATGAGCCTTTCTGTTTTCTAACACCCTGACAGCATATAAATTACATTTGAAAA